TTTCTGCTCCCGTCAGTTTGAATTACAAGGGATTGTTAAGAATCGAGATGATTCAGGAGAAGAACAACAAAGTTTGTTTATTAACTGACAAAATTACATGTTTTGCATGTGATGTGATCTACAGGTGGGGATGACTGCTAACGTTGTTTATCAAGACAGTGTGATATGGAGAAGAAACTACGGCCTGAAAGACAAAAACCATCCGGGGGTCTCGCCTGATCAGGATACGGTATTTCGAGTTGCCAGTATCACTAAAATATTTACAGTAAGTATTCTTCTGTCATGGAAACTGTAGCTTAAAATTCAGATCGGATGATTATTGATCATTTGAATTATACAGTATATTGATGAAAATTATCTATAGACTAGTTAGCGAATTCAGTTTAGACCGGTGTGCATGTTGATTTTTACTTCCAGTACATGGATGTTACTGATCAATAATTAACAATTGATAGATCTTTTTAATACTGAAACGCTAATTTTCAAAATGTCTGCCGAACGATTTTTTATTGCTTGAAAGAAGTATGTGAAGTAAACAATTTGATCCGATAATCGTATGGGTACTGAAACAGTTATTCTACTCATCACTTAGATAAATAACCTGCAGTTTTTTTTTGTTATTTTTTTACTGTTCCTGCTCTTCGTGTTGTTGTTGTTTATTTATTGTTGTTGTTATTGTGATGTCGTTGTCTTAAATGGAATTCGTCTTTTCATTTCTCCCAGGCTATATTTGTGTTCAAACTACTTGAAACCGGCGAAATAGATTGTTTAGACGACCCGTTAGAGAAATACGAACCCAGATTTCAGGTTAAGAATTCTTTCAATCAACAAAAAATAACAATCAGGTGAGTTGGACGTGATGCTGAATTCAAATAATATGCAAAAATTAATACAAATTAAAATGTTCATTATGATGTTCATGATGACGATGGAATAGAAAATTGTTTGAACCCGGCGGGGAACCCATTGGATTGTGAGTGAATGTAGTCCTGAGAAGGACTGTTGTCGGTAGTGGTGACTGGCGTTTCGACAACCTTAGCGGAAGTCATGGTAGTCAAGTGAATAGTAGTTGTCAGTCAAATGTACAGTCCAGTGAACTGATTTGTCGGTTCAGCCGTAATGTTATTGGCTGTAAGACTCAAGTGGCGTAAATTGTCTGTGATTGGCCAGTTTCGATCCGTCGTTGAGTTGTACTGTTTGGTTCGTTTGTGGTGTTGATTCGCGAATAAGCCGTTGGTATGGGGATCACTAATGATCAATCCCAAAGAAAAAGCTCTCATAACGTTTGTCTTTGTGCTTCTCTATAGGCAAATTTTAGCCCACACCTCAGGCCTCCCGCGGGAGGTTCCATGCAGTGACGCCTACTCATACGGTAAAACTCACGTGTGTCCAGTTAACAATACGTACGTCCTAGAACAACTGAGTAGAACTGAACTAAAGAATCCCCCTGGAAGACTACCACACTACAGGTAAGAAAGAGAAAAACGGAATCTGCCAATGTGTGTTAAGAGTATACAGACTTAAAAAGTTAAGATTTATTGGTCAGAGTTTCACTTCGATCTCTGCCAAAAGTGATGGCCAAGAGGATTCTTGCATGACGGTCGGTTAATGTTGAGTTGAAAGAAGTGCATCTTCCAACTGTATTTTAAAGGGACACGCATGTATAGAAGTAATAGATCATGTTAGGGAAATCTCCCCTCCTGACTGTGGGATTCCTTCGTGTCAGGCACTTAACGCATACCATCGTCCTCTGGGGATAGAAATGAGAGAATAATCTTGATTTCGCATTTTGATTTCTCTATTCATGATAGAATGGACATATTTGGTTTACTGAATGTTACACTACAGTGTTAAACAAACGCAAAATAAATTAAATCATGCAACACAACTCAACGCAATAGAAGACAATTGGATATCACGTCTCCATTCGAATCCGTGGATAACGGTGGTTATTTTATATAGAAAATCAGTTCTCGTATATCTTTTCTTATAGGAAACCAAATGGTCTCCAAAAAGTCCAATGAATTGATTTTGTTTTTCAGCAACTTAGGCTATGCCTTAATTGCACGGATTTTTGCGGAGAAATTTGCAAACAGCGACTACGAGGGCTGGGTGGAGAGAAATATTTTCCAGCCACTAGGAATGGGGAAAACTGGATTCAACCTCAGAAGGTATTTGAGCTTTACTTAGGCCGGTGTTTCTGAAACAAAACAAACACATAACCAAAGCAAAGGAGAAAACAAGATTAAGTATTCTGCATTATCAACCTCATGGGAAAGTTCTCTGATTTTTCAATCGCTGAGGCCTCATTATCGGCTTGCAACTCGGTTAGCGGATTGATTTTTGTCATTTATTCTGCTCAGAATGTCCTCTAACAAAGCTGTGGGCTACGATGACGATGGTGAGGCTCCTCTGGTTGACTGGGATTGGGCCTCGCCGGCAATCCAAGCATACTCGACAGCAAATGATCTTTATAAGGTTTGTGATTTGACTTTACTTTTTTTCACGTTATGAAGCAACGCTAACATTGATGTGGAATGAGTTTACCCAGAGGAACGCGGTGTCCTGGAGACTAATGACGACAGCCGGGTTGAGTTGAACAGGTTTAAGCCCCAGATTAGATTTTCGGTGTTTATGTACATCGCCAAACTACTGGCCGAGTTTTTTCAAGCACGATTAGAACTTATCTAGGGTTAAATACCAAGGCAACGTTTAAAATCTTGTATACAGATAAACTGGGTTTACAAGGTAATTTGGTGTCATCAACGTAAATTGATCCAATTGAGTTGATAACGTTAATTGGCCATTGTGAAGATTCTTTAAAGCTGACGTTTCGAGCGTTAGCACTTCATCATTCGCTCTGACGCTCCCCGACGCAGCACCACAGTTTCTTTAGAAACTTCCCCCCTTTTTTAACTTGGGTTTAGTTTTTTTGAGTTTCATATTAGTTATCACGTAATCGTAATTCAGGCAACAGTTACCCTTTTTTGACGCTTTTATTGAAGCGTGTTATTTCTCTGTACAGTTAATGACGTTTTTACTTGGCACGTCAAGTACATCAATACTAACACGAGAATTGGTACAGCAATTGATGAAGCCAGGTCTGTGGGTATAATAGCTTTGATATTTTCATATCTGTAGAAACAAAAGTCGTCCAACGACTTAAGCATAGTAAATATAAATCATGAGATACCTCATGAAAGAGCCTGGCTTTGTTCTCTGCAGACACTTCGGAGGAGAAAGGTTCTTTCATGCAATGCGTTGTTCTAAAGTGTAATCATGTTGGTCATGCATTTACATTTTGTCGTAGCCCTTAAGGCGATCTGTGCATTCTTCCTCAGCAGTGAAAAATGGGGAAAATGAGAAAAGCTATTGAAATAAGAAGTAAGAGGCCAAACCTGATGTCTGAGTGAACTCAGCCAATTATCTTCTTTCCATTTGCCTTAACTTGCAGATTTCATGTATCCGGATGGTAGCACTGTGTTTGGGACTGGCTGGGAGATTATTGACGCTGGTACATATTCAGTTGTGACAAAGTCAGGATTTGTTCCGGGATATTCTGCTGGATTTGCATTTGTGCCAGAATTTAAACTTGGTTGGTAATTCGTACTTGATAGATGCTGTCTTAAAATTGTTTTCTTTGAGGAATTTATCTTAGAACTGAAGTTTTAGTAGAACAGTAGAACACGACTTAACTCCTCATTGACTCTCTGTAATACTTTTGTTTTTTATTTCCACCCTCTAATGGTTCTTTGGTTTTTGTTTCTCTACAATTAATTTAGATGCACTTTAACTTTTGCGTTTGTTTACCACTCTGCCATTGATTTTGACTAGCTAAACAGTCGGAACCCCTGTGTTAGTTGCACCTCACCAAACAAGCGATTGATACACATGTTTTCCTATTTCTATTTCGCTTTCATTGTTTGTACTTGTCTAACATTCATGCAAGACCCAGCTTTTTTTCAATCTAGGCCCAAGTTATTCTTTCGAATGAATGTTAATCTATTTTCTGCAAAGATCTCTTCAGTTTAGCTGGTAAGCCAGCGATCGCATCGTTTTAAATTTTCTCATTTTTGACGCTGCTATCCTTAAAATACATTTACAGGTGCAGTTGTCCTTGTCAGCGGTCGTGAAGTCGCTTGGAGGCTAGTGCATTCGATTGTCCAAACTTTGGCCAAAACGATGGATGCAGTGTTATTGCGTCAACAGTTGCAGGTAAACCAACTCTTAAATCTGTTGTGAAAACAGTGCTGTCAATACGTCAAAGGTGTACACACGCTGTAGCATCTCGAAACAAACTGATTTGCGAATACATTTTAGGTTGTAAAACGTTGTTGTCGTCACACGTTTATGGCTAATATTTGCAATGACATACGCTGTTGTTTTACTTTTAATGAAAATGTATAACCGACGGTTAGTTTGTTTCTGAAGTTTTTTCATCGTTTTAATTAATTCGTAATAGGACTTTGTGTCGTCCAATTCTGTCTGTCTCATACTTGTTATTAACAAATCGGACCAGCGCTTCGTGGTCGTCTGATTTTGTAAATCTCTTGTCTGATTGCAAACCCGATTGGACTCCACTCAGTCCCATGACCATAACTAATTAGAAAAATTTTCTGTTAAAAGTAGTTACCAGGAAATTTTATTCTATGACAGTGCAGCAGCAGTATGAGTTTTCTTTGTAATGTCCTGTAGATCCAGCTCCTTCCTAATAACGAACAGTACCTTGGGGAATACCGGATTGTCTCTCATTGGATGCCGGAAGTAATTGTTAACATAACGCAAAATGACGGACTTTTGCTCTTCACCCAACTTCCGGGCTCCTTTGGTTTTTCCTACCTGAAACCCATCACGGACCACGTGTTCGAGGTAATTTACAGAGCTGGATTGGATTGCATGACTTATGGATTGGGACAGAATCGAGAAAGGGTGTCTTTCGATCCGCCGTCCGCTGGTAAAAAGAGTCCTGGTCTTAGGTTTGGCCCGTTTATATTCAAACGAACGTTCCCTGTACATAATAATGTCTTAAAACCAAGGACGTCTGGTTCACATCTCGCGCCATCAAGTCTACTCTGATAGATTTCCGTGATAGTAGTTTTTCAAGTTTTTAACGTAAATATCATCAGTATACACCACACAGGTGAATAGTTCTTTTAGCGCGCGCTGATTGGCTAGTTCGGAAGTAAATAGCAAGTGTTATTCTCCTCCGAGCATCTGATGAGACAAAATTGCGCGTCAAGGATTTAATTTGCGGCCATTTTTCGGTATGTTGTAAGATACATTATATCAGATATTTTGTATCTGTATATACCTTGGTTTCTGTGACAGTGGCGGATATTTACCGAGCCGCGAAGCGGCTCGGTAAATATCCGCCACTATTAACCTTCACTTTGGTGAATAATTGTTAATTGCTGTGGACAGTTTGCCTCTAAAGACAGATTTTCAATATTATTTCAATGCGTTTTCTTGGCATCCATACGCTCGCGCCATATTTGATCTAGGAATTTCCTCAAAGCTTATAAATATATTTAAGAGTCTGGCAATTTACGTCTGTCTTCTTCCGAATAAATTAGATTATTTAATAAATGTAAGTATAATTATTACGGGTACCAATTTACTCAAACCGAATTAAAATTGAAATCGTCAATGTTTCAGTCTGATGGCTTTTTCCTTTCGTTTCCTCAATTTTAAATTGACTGTTAGGTGATGAACCCAGTAGGGAATATGTGAGAGGAATCGTCCTTTTTGTCGCTTCAGCTTGAAGCTGGGAATGATTAGGCTACTTCAGTGTGATCTGTGAACGCTTCACTCAAAAAACCACTACACAAAAGTCCTACGCTTTCACTTCCAAGATATATAATTTTTTTCCAAGTGTATGCGATAAATTTTGAATTATTTTTGGCTGAAGAAATGTTTTTACAGTCAATTCACGTCCTCCAGTGATGAAAATGTTCTTTCTTTTTTCATTTTTATGAATGTTGTACGAAGAAGTCGTTTATTGGTTTGTAGGGAGAAAGTTAAGAACCCCAAATGATACCGCCCCCCTCCCCCCACACACCTACATACCCACCCCCACAGGTATATTAAGTTAATTATTGGTTATTAGCTTCAAACGCACAAAACAGTCCACCCTTTTACTTTCATGAAAGAAGCCAAATCCGTACTTACAAAACAGTTTGCTGATTGGTAACAGTTTCGTATGATAAAAATTTTTTAATTGAATTCATACCATAATGCTCTGTTTATACTTGTAACAACAGGCATTTACTGAGTCTTTCATTTACAATCAGAACTAGCGCCTTTGTCTCGGTCGGTTTCAGTAAATTGCCAACAGAAAACTGTATAAATGTCCTAGGAAAAAGTAATTAGAATGCAGGCGTCAAGTTGTGGCAGGTAATTCCTAAAGCAAGAGACTCGGTTTTATTTTCGTGAAGAGAATTTAATTTTCTTCCCATTCAAGCAGAAGACTGTTCCTCTCTCTAGTCGTGTTTACGGAAGGATGTTAGACACCTTAACTTCTCAAACAGTTTGGATTCTGCGTTTTACGGTTTATCCATTGTTCAGCTCATTGAAAGTGTCTGAAACTCTGAGAAACTAACACATGTTTTTTTCTTTGAAGAGGAAAAGAAAATCTGCAAATGTGTTATAACTCAATGCAGCTAGTGATCGATGCGAAAAAAATTATCGACAAGGAAAGCTTGCAGTTCAACTAATTTAGTTTCAGGAAAACAGAGGACAGAGAAGTAGATCACCACAAGGAAGAAACACACTCTTACCTGTGCGATGAATTCCAGCAGGGCAGACAACAACTTTATTCCACCTGAATGTAGCGTCTACAAAACAGTGGGAGGGAAGCTATCCGATTCTGATACCCAAGCCAGAAACGTTCTTATCTTTATCGTAATCACCAACATCGTCATATCTCCCCTCACTGCTACTTTCAACATGTTATCGATGATAGCTGTAAAAACTAAAAGGCGCTTGAGAGAGCACAAGTCCAACATACTGCTTGCTTGTTTAGCGGTGACCGATTTGGCGGTGGGTGTGATTGTTCAACCCATGTTAACTGTCGTTTCAATCATCGACCTGGTCGGCGAAATAACGAGAGAATTGTGTTTATTACAGATCTGCACACAATTTATGACGAGTTTTTTAGTTAACTCGTCTCTTATCCACCTGGCTTTGGTGAGTGGAGAAAGATATTTAGCCACGAAGCACGTTTACGCCTATGCAAACGGACTCGTTACAGAGGTTCGCCTGCTGGTTGCTTCAGGACTGGCGTGGCTCCTCTCCCTGATCTTGCACATTCCTCTTTTTGTTAAGATATCAGTTTTTTATGCCACAAACAACATTTTCATCGGAATTTCTCTCGCTATAATAACCTCCTGCCACGTAACCGTCTACCGCGAGGTTCGCAGACAGCAAAAGACACTTTCAACTCAACAAGTCACAGAAGAGGCAAGGCAGAAATTTCTGAAAGACAAGAAGGTTTTCAAACTGACAGCTACAATTGTTGCAGTGCTATTATTCTGTTACTTACCAATAACCGTTGTTAGAATTGTATTAAACTGGTCAGGTTTAATGTCTATAAAAGTAAGGTTTACAATTTTATTCTTTTCCGTGTCGTTCACACTATTTAATTCATTCCTTAATCCACTTATTTACGCCATTAGGATACGACAGTTTCGCGTAGCCTTCATCGAATTGCTATGTAGAACCACAAACTTAGCCGAAGCTGAGGAAATGGAAAGGAACATGTTTAGACGGCGTAATGCTGTAGCAGTAATGGACAGAGGACAAAAACAAGAAGAAGAACATCATGATGAAGGACAGCAAATATCGAACTTGAGCACGTAATGATGTTCTCCCAAGAAGAAAAAATCATATCCGTACAGTTAATTACAGCTAGAACTTCCATTTATTTAATTTCATTTTAGAAATATACTGTCTTTGTTTCCCAGTAAATGATGAGAAACTTGAAAGTTTGAAGAGTCTGTCCACGAAAGGACCAGGCAAGCGTGACACATGCCATTTCACCGATTTCTCTCAAACGTTCACAGTTTATGAGGCGTGAATACGAAAGCGATCTTCGCAGTAATGAATAATAGTAAAGAGGGTCACTAAGTAGTTCAAGAATCCAAAGTAGTTCGGGCTCCCGGCTAATCCCTGGGGTATTAGAGCCCCCACATCAAATCCCTGGGGTACAAGGCTAAGATTAGTTCGAAAAATGCAGTTCCAATGAATCTCTCTCACACTAACAGAATACGATGGATTTTAATCTTACTGGGTCACATGGTTGTTTGAACATTTAGGAAACAATTCTTAAAAGTTTGGGTAATTTGACACGACTCTGCCAGTTTATAGCAGTTAATTATTAACCATGTCACGCAACTATTCCAAAAAAGAAAAAAATTAGGTTTTTTAATTGCAAATATCTCCAATGGGCGACATTGTATGTCGACAAACATTCCATCACAGGAAAGACCTGTCCTAAAATTACGTTTGTGAGTAAAAAAATATTTGGCCTCTGTAAAAGAATCGTGATCACGTCCCTCTGAAATACGTGACCTCTGATGTTAATTTATGCAATTTTTGGTCATAAACTGATATTTATTCACTCAATTTCAATTTGAGAATGGGATCGCCGACGCTAGTTTTTGTGGTACAAATGTCTGAAAACAACAGATGTACAGCTACCAATCTAAGGCGTCACTTATCATAGAAATTCTGTGACACTGACACAATCTATTAAAAATATATATGTATATATGTATATATCATAAATTAAACATTACCGAATTGAGTAATGAATATCGGCAGTTGACAGCGACTTTTGCCAAATGTACTTTACAAAAATGAAATACTTTATGTACCTAGTATAATTTTATTCAATACACATATCTTTTTTTGTCTGTGGGAAGCTTTTAGAAGACTCCGTCTAATTTTAGGAACATCACAGGAAAGTTGTTCTTGTTACATTTACGAATTGCGATGTGAAAATTGTCGACAACGATAGAAAATAAACTGGCAATGTAGCTGATAGCTGAACTGTTTTTCTTGTGTTTAATTTTTTCGCTTTTTTATGTATGATTATGTATGTCCAATGAGAACAAGAATGTAAACCACGCGTGGTTTAGATATCTTATCCAAAACACGTGTGATTTTTATCTTGGTTTTCATTAGGTTTCGAAACTCATGCACGTGACGAAGTCAGCCATTTAGATCGCTAAGACAACTAATGAATGAATTATATATAAATAAGTGTCAAAAGTTTCATTTCCCAAATATTTTAGAATACGACAGTGTAGTGGTGCCTTCGTATCCCTTGTTAACAACTATTGGCAAACTGAACAAAGAGGATGGGAAAATGCGTCGGCAGAGCAGGTGTGGAAATATACCAAGTAATTCTTACAGCTCAAAACTCAGGAACGCAATAGGAGTAGTTTATGGCAAGGTTTTATTGTAGTGGCGAGTAATTAATTTTTTTTGGACGTACTAAACCGGAATTTTCCTGGCCATGTTGACGGAAAGAGCTACAACACCCACGCTTGAGTTTCCAAAAGAAAGTTTGGATTCTGCGTTGTTAGTTCATTCATTTTGTAGCTCATAAAACTGCATTCAAGTCGTGGAAACGGTCAGACGCTTCTTTTTCGGAAAATAAAAAAAATAAAGGGTGCAAATATCATATCATTCGGTGAGACCAGCGATAGCGATAACGGCAAGAGCTCACAGTCCAACCGCTTAGTTTCAACAAAATAGAAGAAAGAGAGGTAGATCCGCAACAAAAAGAGACAAAAGCTACACAAGCGATGACTTCGAGCCATGTAAGCAACGACATGACCCCTGCTGAATGCGGCGTCTACAGAGCAACGGGAGGAAAGCTTTCCGATTATTCGGACGCTCAAGCCGTTCGAATCTTCCTCTCGGTCACCTTCACGATCACAAGTCCAACGTACTGCTTGCTTGCTTGGCGGTGACTGATTTAGCAGTGAGTGTGATTGTTCAACCAATGTTAATTGCCCACTCGAGTCTCAACTGGGCGGGTGGAACCACAAGCTCGAATGTATCGTGTGCTTTAAATTTGTGTGCACAATTTATTACAAGTGTTCTATGTGAATCGTCTCTTATCCACCTGATTTTGATAAGCGGAGAACGATATTTAGCCATGAAGCACGCTTACGCGTACAGCAACGGACTCGTCACAGAGGTACGTTTACTGGTTAGCTCAGGTCTGGCGTGGCTCCTTTCTCTGATCCTGCACATTCCTCTTTTTGTTCATAGATCAGTTTTTTATGCCACAAACATCATTTTTATGTGCATTTCTCTCGCTATCATAATTTTCTGTCATGTAACTGTCTACCGCGAGGTTTGCAGACATCAAAAGACACTTTCAACTCAACAAGTTACGGAAGAAGCAAGGCGGAAATTTCTGAAAGACAAGAAGGTTTTCAAACTGACAGCTACAATCGTTATAGTGCTATTTTTCTGTTACTTGCCAGTAACCGTTTTTAGATTTGTTTTGAGCCAGTCAGGTTTCATGTCTTTAAAAGCAGGTTTCATCTTCGCATCCTTTTCTTTGTCTTTTGCAATATATAATTCATTCCTTAACCCGCTAATTTACGCCATTAGGAAACGACAATTTCGCGTAGCTTTCATCGAATTATTGCGCAGAAATACAAACTTAGCTGAAGCTCAGGAAATTGAGAAGAAAGTTTTTGGATCGCCAAATGCTGTAGGAGTTAGTAATGGACAGAGGAAAAAAACAGGAAGAAGAAATTCAAAGCGAAGGACGGCAAATCTCAAACTTGAACTTGTAATAATATTTTCCTACTTTCCGTGAAAACTACATCCGACGAGTAAATTTTTAATTTCGTCGATTCCACCGAACTGCGTTGTCATAGTATGTAAAACGTGCCGGAAACAAAATGAGCATCTTTACTTACAATTTGAGCATCAAACGCGCCAAAAATTGGTTTCTGATTTTTTCCCTATTTATAAAAATATTGTGCCTCTGCGTCCATGTTGAAATATTTATTCTAATACTCATCTGATCTATTGTACTCTTTCTATAAGCGGAGAAGTAATTTTATAACCTGAATTAGAAAAGTTAGAGCGCAATTTTTTTTTCTGGCCTTATTTCCACTACTGCCTAAATCGTGTTCATTACTGCGAATATCCCTCTCATATTCAAATTTTGAACAGTTAAATATATCATTGTAAAGCTGTTTGAAAAACGCGTCTAGCAGCACTTAACTCTAAGAAATTGTTTAAGTTTTCAATTTGACGGATTTGCCTGCGGGTCGATTTATCTCTTTGCTCAAAACGAAAGCTACAGACTCGTGTTTTTGGGTGAAAACGGAATTTTGATTTTGTGCTCCAAGCGTAATCACTGTGTGGCACAATAAAAGAGGGTTTTACCTTTATAAAAAAAACTAACTATGCGTATTTGCCTAAATAGGGATACAACATTTAAATAAACATGCAGCAAACGACAGGTGCAAAAACCTTAAGTTTTTCACTGAATGAATGACATGGAGGCATTCGTAGCCAAAGGAAACTCCATCCGATGGTGTGCGGATAAAATCGCAATACTCACTCCAATATTCACTCCTCTCACTTAAAAGACCTCTCACCCTCCCCCTCCCCCCCTCCTCATCAACCCAGTCTTTTGTTTATATTTACTTCACTTTTCTTGGATTTGTTTTGTTCAGGTAGCCATGACCGTTGAGTGTGTCCGTCTTTGAAAACGACAGAGTTTAGTAAAAGCTATAGAACGGATCTGAAAGGAAAAAAAAGAAGTGTGCGCGTTTCCATTAACAATTTCACCTGCACTTTTAACAAACTGAAAAACTAATTTCATGCTTCAGATATTAGCCAAATTTAGTTTACGGAGTACTCTATTTAGGTCGATAAAATTTCAATTAGACTTTTGAAAGGGAATTTTCTCGACGCTTTCTTTGTTCCATTTACGAGAAAGTATGGCTGTGTGCACCAATCATAACATGTTATACCTTTCAGTTTTTCTAAAAAATTTAAATACCTTATTCCATTCTGTTCCTGATGAAGTGTGATCTATTCTTGGAAAAGGTCTTCATTTCGTTGTTGACACGGCTAGTGGTGCATGATAAAAAGCATCCGCTTTTGCTTTCCACCTTATAACCGAAATTGAGATTTCCTTGGACCTTTGAATTCGCTTTTGTCCTTAACTTTCCTTGAATGGTGAAAATTTCAGATAACTTGTTAATTTAATAGAAATGCAGTCATTCATTGAGTTGTTTAAAAGTCATGAAATTCAGATCATAGTGCATGTCGCAGCAATTAGCTTTAATTTTACATTTTAGACGGTAAACAAGAACTAAATCTCCGTAAGATTCTTTATCAACACAAGAAAGCAGTACAAATTTGTCGAAATATTCTCTAATATCGAACGCTTGTGCCCTTAATGAGATTGGAAGTTACAATCATTACGTTACGTTGTATCTTTAAATACTATTTGTTTTATCTATACAGCTATAAGCAGCGGATATGATTTGTTCTTTAGCGCTGTGCAACAAAAACCATCAGAACAACGCTCTTGCATTTACACAAAGTTCGTCATTTTGAAAATGAAAAATCCTTGAGCGGCCATAGCATCCACAACCGGTCGATCTACAACTTTTGAGCGGACTCCAGCGACAACCAGTGCGTTTTCGGGGCCATTGGGAACAGAAGTCGTCTGTAATTCTTGAGGATCTGCACTCAAGACCAGTTTTCCCGTGTTTTTATCAAATTCTAACCTTTCTTGCGTGGAATTGTCGCTGCGTGAAGTAGTATGGCTAGCCTGTCGCTGCTGCTGCGTCGAAAAGTTCCCACCGAACGGTACGAACCCTTCATGCTTCGGATCTTCTCTATGTCGAAAGTTATCAGGATTCCAGCGCCTAAAAGGAAATCTTTGCTTGTCTTCCATTTTGAATTTCCGTTTTCAAGAAGCGTTTTGTTCGAATACTTAGCAATAAATACCAATAGTGAGAGCGGACTGGATCTGTTATGTCCGCATGACAGAAATAAACCATTAACACGCACGCGTATTTACGGCTTGAACCATTTGACAGGTAACGAGTGGTACGCCCAGCGATGCCAGTGTCCAATAAGATCGTTTTCATCTTGGAGTGACGTTTACTCTAACTGCAAAGGTGGAGTCTAGTCATTTAATTATGAGCTTGAATAAGTTTAAATAATGAATTGAAAGAATACAGTTATTTCTCTGGGACCTACTTTAATGGTTACATAAGATATAAGGAACAAATTTCACCTTAGTTAATAACACATGGCTTCTTTTCAGGCTAACAGTGGAAGCGTCAGTCTTAGGGACTCTTAACGGTGGCCAATCAACTCAGTTGGTAAAACCAAATTATCTCGTTATATCCTTCCTAACTTCCCACCGACGCAGGACCATAGTTTCATAAGAAACTTACCCCCTTTGTCCTTTTCCTTTAACTTCGAAGACATTGATATATGTCTACCTAATAACCTTACGTAATATAGGTTATGAAAAAACCCTTATTTGGGCATCCTGGAGTGGTTTGGTAAAAAGAAAACAGGTCAAGATCGATCGTGGTGAAACCTGCAATGTTATCATGGCGCCATTTTTAGCTTGCGGCAATGTTGGGACAGAGTCATCCACCCTTGACTCAAAGGAAAAAAATCATTACGTGGACTTTTTAATGACTCCAGTAAATTAAAATAAAATAAAAAACAGCTTAAGTCAATATTTGAATATGTCATCGACATAAAAACTCTGAATTTATAAAAAGTAAAAGCTTTTGTCGTGCGACAATGTAATTTTTAGCAAAAGCTTGTTACACGAAGTCTCTGAATGCTTCATTACGATATTCAATACATATTGTTATAATTAGTGGTTCGATTTAAGATTCACGGTGTTTACAATTTCTTTTGTCTCCTTTTCTGAGAAAGAACGACATTTTGCACTCAGTGATTATATACATCTTCCGGTTGTTCCCGGAAATTTAAGTTTTGATGATGTGAGCAGATCTTTTGTTGGCACTTGCTCACGCAATATCTGACCCGTTACGGATCAAAGACATATTTTCACTTTCTTCGTATGAACATCATATGATTGCCAAATGACACGAAACTGATGGCCTAAGAGACCTATTCTTGCCTATTGCGTTAGTTTTACGGTATAGGAGGTTTAGAGGTCGGTTGGTATGTCGTATTAAATTTCCATTCATCTCCTCTTGGAATTCTCCCTTCGTCCTATTGATTACATAAAGATTTCTAAGAAATTCATTTGTTGAGTGGTTGAAGGAACTATCAATTCGAAAGGTCAGTGATACTGTTGTTAGCGTTCTGTGCTTCAAAACAAAGAGACGTATCTGCAAGAACTTCGCAGCAATTTTCTTTAATTCAATAAATGAAGCACTTATATAGCGCATCCTTCAGATCAGTATGCTCTAGTACACTTTACAACACTTAAAAAGCCTGGGGAGTAGAGCTGTTTACAATTTTGCAGAAAATTAAAAAGCATCGCTTTGCCATTGCACAGCGTTACGTTCTGGCAAAGCACATCAAGTTTCCGTTCAATTTGGTTCAATACGCTTTTATGCAGGGTACGTTGAAAGGCGGGCGCAAAATTACAATCTGCCTTTTGACAAATCATCTCAGCACTAAGTTTTGCACTAAATAGTCTACATGACACATGCCTAATTCTGCTGCTACTGTGGACACTTCATACCATGAAGGCAACCCTGATTTCTGACTAGTAGTTCCTAGCTGCGTTTAAAAAACATTCATCATCTTCAAATAGAAAAATCCTTGAGCAGCCATGGCATCCACAACCGGTCGATCTGGAACTGGTGCTCGGACTTCGAGAACAGCCACGGCACTTTCGTGAACAGAAGCTGCTTGTGGTGCTTGTGGATTCCTGCAAACTACGAGTTTCCCAGTGTCTTTATCAAATTCTAACCTTTCTTGCGCCGAATCGTCTTGACGTCTATTGTTGTAGTTAACTGGCTGCTGCTGTGTTGAAGGGATCCTACCGAAACGTTCTTGCGAAGAATTGTCTTGGCGTCGATTGCTGTAGTTGACCGGCTGATGGCGTGCAGTTGCCCTTCCCTCCGTCCGCTGTGAACTTTCAAACCCGGAGTCTGCTAGCCTCCTAGGTGGAAACTTCTCCCTGCCTTCCATGAAGAATCTTCGAAAGCAAGAAGTGCTATATTTTTAATCTTATAGACGCTAACCGCCTTCGAGACCGAGTTTGTTGTTTCAACGCACGCAGGATATGAAAGCGGAAATCTCTGCGCATGCGTATTTGCGTCGACATATTCCTAGAAATATTGTGTTTTAAAGTGCAACGTATTTAAAATCTACATAGACATTTTAAGGCTTCATCATTAAGCTGATCATTTTTATGCAGCTTGATACAATTTTGGATTTGTAAACCCATTCTGTAGCGATTGCAAGAATATTCTGGCGAGGAACGGTTTGAATACGACAAATGTTTTAAGTTATTTTATGCTCCCCAAAATATAATAGAAATATAAGCTAGAATTCTTCAGAATGTTTATTACGTTTTCGTATGAAAATAAACAATTTGAGTTATTTATTGTCAGAGAAAACGTTTGGCTGGTCCTTGTTATTTTCTTGAAGCTAAATTTCGCTTGGGAATGAAAATAATTGTTATTTTTCTTAAAAGCATATCGACAGAAATGTCTTGAGAACAGATTCCCATAATCTATTTCAGTTTTCAGTCTTAATCGAGTGCAAAACATTCAGTCAGGTAGTCCTGACGAATTATTCAAAAGCGAAATTCGACACATCCCTAGCGAGATGACAAAGCGGTTGGGTATGACTAAATGATACCGTAAATAGATTGTTGTGTCAAGTTCTGCACTTGAATATTGAACAAAATTTTTTACAGATAGCCAACGACAAAATAAGTAAAGGCTGCTTATTATTTACTTTAAAGTATCAACGAGGCGACCTCACGCTGTACATTGTCATTCAGGTTTGGCCGGTGTCTTGCTAAATTAAAAGAAATATGGGATGAAATAGCTGCATTCTTTAGGTACGTGAGTGTTTGTGTTGTTGAAAGTTTGGACTGCCACGAGCATCGAGATCATCGACTTCCGTCCCCGTTATTCCGCTTTCTTCTTCTTCTTTTTCAATATTATCATTCATTTTTTGACTGAACACGTTTCGACCTGGAAGGTAATACATTTCAAGTGGCTCAAAATTTGCAGAGCCTTTTTTAAAAAGGTATGGATGGATAGCCGCAACTGATTCATTTTCTACTGTGACCTTGTAAACCAGAATTAAAAGACCTCCATTAGGATACTCTCGATGCATGTCTTTGTAAGATGGTGCCTCCAGCTCTCTTTGGCTAAGAATGTATTTTCCTAAGGTGTAATCCTGAGCCAAGATTCCTTGGGTTTGCAAGGTATTTGTAGGTTTCGTCTGCGAAGAAAAAGGCTGCTGTTCTTTTCCGCTCTTGCTGTTACGTTCTTGGACCAGATGCAAGACAGGCATGCCGTGACTCGTCCACAAACCAAGCAATTCTCCCTCCATTTCATCCCCATCAAATTGTAACAGCTTATTCTCAATCATTTGTTTGTCATCTTCAAACATGTAAGCGTATGCTTTGCTCTCGTAGCTTTCATTACCGGGCAGCTGTTCCGATCCCCAACTTTTAGGTGTCCTCTTGTGTTCATGAGCAGTGGTACTCCTATCTTCGTCTCTCTCAATATTTTCCTTTATGACATCTATTTTCCTGAAGGGGCTACATGGACTGCTAAGTTGTCTGATCAATCCTTTTTCGTAGGTAGTCTGTCCTTGTCTGTAAAGGTAAGGCGAAAGTGTGACATCTCCACGTGGAAGAATATTGGCGATGATCAGGATAAACCCACGCGCTCCTCTAGGAAAGTTCCGAATAACGGTTGAAGAATCTCCTGAGCTCGGCTCCGATAAACGCAATTTGTGGTGGGAATGCCACTCTCCAATGTGACAAAGGAGAAACCGCTCGGTTAGCAGCCTTCCAACACGCTCTAAATAGGGAATGCTCTGGTAGAACGACACTTCTGTGCGAGTGCAGCCAATGGCAGGACCAAGCACAACGTGCAAGACTGGTTCTTCGTCGTTATTCCACAAACCAAACAGATTGCCGCCTGTCTCTTTTTCCGGGTGAAGCTTCACTAGCTCTTTCATCATTTGAATGTCTTCTTCGAACATGTGAACGTGAAATTGCCTTCCATGATTTGCCCCCATGTTTTGTCTCTTGATCCAAGGTTCTTAAAGCCGAAATATATCTTTACCCGACACCAAAGGTATAACCACAACTAAGCTTAGTTGCGTTACATATGTATGAAGACCCCAATCACCTGAATCTTTCCAAGAAACTTTGTTCTTAAAATAAACCTAATCGTGAATATTCAGGGTATTTACGATTATAACTAGTTATTTCAAATAAGTTATTAACACGTGTCAACTCCCCCTATTTGACTTCTATATATTTATATATTTTTTACACATATATATAAATGTGAATTGTGGCGGAGTGACGGCTTGCGAGTATCAGTTTTCTTCCGGCTTTTCTCAGAAATGTCGGTTTGTTTTGTTTATGTCAAGCAGGTCACAGCGAATATTCAACAGCCTTTTCAGAGAAAATCGATGAGCTGGAACGTATTTATCAGTTAAATAAAAAGGATTTGGCGATATTGCCACTAGAAATGGAAGCAGGAGTGTAAATTGATATCCATGGTCGTTAGCCAGCGCCAAACAGAAGATCTGAGGATTACTCAACAGCTATGAAAACCACAAAAATAAAATTACTTCGGATCTCATTTTGCGTAGCTTTATTCCAGCATTTATTGGAATTAAAAAAACAGTATTAATGACTGAGAGTGAATGATTTCGATAATGGACTTTATACAAGGATATTAATAATAATATTTAAGGATAGGAAAATGGTAAAGGTGAAAATTAAAGTAGTTTTGTTTTCTCAGTTAGCTCGATCTATGACTAAACACTCAATAGATTGTGAATTAAATTCACAAATCTTCTGTCGTTTTTTGCGGTTGTAATCATTCTTATATCTAATCAAATGGTTACATCTAACAATTAAGGTATGTACAAAGATTCCTTATGAATATAAGGGAGATAAATTCCCGAACAGCACATAAAATGCTTTTTTTGGGACTATTATTTTATCAGTGTTTACTTTAGGCTTCGTCTTTTACATAAGACGCCGTCCCTTCGAAAGTGACAAATAAACTGAACTAAGAAAGATGCGTTTTGACTAAATATGTTTTTCGAAAGCTAAATGAACTTTCTTCCCCTCGGTGCATATTGAAATAGCTGCCCTTCGGCAGCTGGGA